CTAAACTCGGGGACTGGAGCCCTCTCTGGGCTAAACTCGGAGATTGGAGCTTTCTCAGGGCTAGACTTGGGGACTGGAGCCCTTTCAGTCCTAAACTCTGGGACTGGAGCTCTCTCTCTGGGCTAAACTCGAGGATTGGTGCTCTCTCTGGCCTAAACTCGGGGACTGGAGCCCTCTCTGGGCTAAACTCGGGAACTAAAACCCTCTCTGGGCTAAACTCGGGGACTGGAGCCGACACTGGAGCTGGTCTCAGGGGCTGGAGCCGACACTGGTGCTGGCTGAAGGGCTGGAGCCAACACTGGAGCTGGCTCAGGGGCTGGAGCCGACACTGGAGCGGACTCAGGGGCTGGAGCCGACACTGGAGCAGACTCAGGGGCTGGAGCCGACACTGGAGTGGACTCATGGGCTTGAGCCAACAGTCGCTTCCTCCTTAAATTCTTCCCTTGATTTGGGGTAAGGATTGTGCAGCTGTTAGCTGAGGGCTTGAGAGTGAATCGACCGGCGGGCTTGACAATGGAACCACCGGCAGGCCTAACTTCGGAACGGCCGGCGGGCTTGAGAGTAGCGATTTCCATAATCACGGGGGGAAAAACGAAAAACAAAAACACAGGGAGTAGGGACGCCGCTTACTGTTTATGGTCCGGTATTCTGTCACGGTGTGCCTACTGTGAAGGAGCGAGGAGAATCCAGAATCATCACAGACTTTATTTGACATCAAGGAAATCACACATAGGACACAGGGATCGACGTACAATACCGGATGCTAGACTTAGAACAGGAAACACTTTAAATACACATGACGTGACGAGAAACACCTGGGAGCAATAAACATAATTGCACATGAGGGAAAACTGGGTCATGGAAAGCACGTGAGGGAGGAAAACACGGAAGACACGGAAAACAGGACTGACAATGATATTGAGCAACTAGAAATGCATGACATATCATTAAATTGATTGTCAGCTGATATTAGGTCAATATTGGATTTTTAATTGTATATGCTCATTTTAATTTAATTGTACATGCTCATCTTGATTGCTAAAAGAAGTTCATCTTCAAAAAAACGAATAATTTAACTGTTAAATGAATATAAATTTTTCATACTGTACATTTTATTGTTGTGATATCTACAGTGGGGCAAAAAAGTATTTAGTCAGCCACCAATTGTGCAAGTTCTCCCACTTAAAAAGATGAGAGAGGCCTGTAATTTTCATCATAGGTATACCTCAACTATGAGAGACAAAATGAGAAGAAAAAAAATCCAGAAAATCACATTGTAGGATTTTTAAAGAATTTATTTGCAAATTATGGTGGAAAATAAGTATTTGGTCACCTACAAACAAGCAAGATTTCTGGCTCTCACAGACCTGTAACTTCTTCTTTAAGAGGCTCCTCTGTCCTCCACTCGTTACCTGTATTAATGGCATCTGTTTGAACTCGTTATCAGTATAAAAGACACCTGTCCACAACCTCAAACAGTCACACTCCAAACTCCACCATGGCCAAGACCAAAATTGTAGACCTCCACCAGGCTGGGAAGACTGAATCTGCAATACGTAAGCAGCTTGGTGTGAAGAAATCAACTGTGGGAGCAATTATTAGAAAATGGAAGACATACAAGACCACTGATAATCTCCCTCGATCTGGGGCTCCACGCAAGATCTCACCCCGTGGGGTCAAAATGATCACAAGAACTGTGAGCAAAAATCCCAGAACCACACGGAGGGACCTAGTGAATGACCTGCAGAGAGCTGGGACCAAAGTAACAAAGGCTACCATCAGTAACACACTGCACCGCCAGGGACTCAAATCCTGCAGTGACAGACGTGTCCCCCTGCTTAAGCCAGTACATGTCCAGGCCCGTCTGAAGTTTGCTAGAGAGCATTTGGATGATCCAGAAGAGGATTGGGAGAATGTCATATGGTCAGATGAAACCAAAATAGAACTTTTTGGTAAAAACTCAACTTGAGGAGAAAGAATGCTGAGTTGCATCCAAAGAACACCATACCTACTGTGAAGCATGGGGGTGGAAACATCATGCTTTGGGGCTGTTTTTCTGCAAAGGGACCAAGACGACTGATCCGTGTAAACGAAAGAATGAATGGGGCCATGTATCGTGAGATTTTGAGCGAAAATCTCCTTCCATCAGCAAGGGCATTGAAGATGAAACGTGGCTGGGTCTTTCAGCATGACAATGATCTCAAACACACCGCCCGGGCAACGAAGGAGTGGCTTCGTAAGAAACATTTCAAGGTCCTGGAGTGGCCTAGCCAGTCTCCAGATCTCAACCCCATAGAAAATCTTTGGAGGGAGTTGAAAATCCATGTTGCCCAGCGACAGCCCCAAAACATTACTGCTCTAGAGGAGATCTGCATGGAGGAATGGACCAAAATACCAGCAACAGGGTGTGAAAACCTTGTGAAGACTTACAGAAAACGTATGTCCTCTGTCATTGCCAACAAAGGGTATATAACAAAGTATTGAGATGAAATTTTGTTATTGACCAAATACTTATTTTCCACCATAATTTGCAAATAAATTCTTTAAAAATCCTATAATGTGATTTTCTGGATTTTTTTTCTCATTTTGTCTCTCATAGTTGAGGTATACCTATGATGAAAATTACAGGCCTCTCTCATCTTTTTAAGTGGGAGAGCTTGCACAATTGGTGGCTGACTAAATACTTTTTTTTCCCCACTGTAAATTTACGAACGAATGAATGAAACGCATTTGTCTGTGTTTCACTCCGTCTCGAATCGCGCTCGTGGAAAGCGCTTGAGAAACAGTGTCTATTCTGTGGCTCGGTACGCCTTCAACTCGTTTTGTTAGTCTTGAGCAAGATTGTACGACATTCACATTACATGATTTGACTGATTTTTACGTAGAAAGGCGACAGCGCACTGCATTAAAATAAATGACCATTCATGTTTTCATAACCGCTGGCCAAATTCAAAAACGAAACTAAAATTAAATCATCTTTGAGAGCAAGGGGGTCCCCTGGTGTTTCGGGGGGCCTACGCTGCTTGCATCTTTTGCGTATAGGGATGATTGACTCTGAGCAGGAATTGTGACTTTTTATCTCACAGTGTAGCTTTATTACTTATTTTAAACTTTATTGCACATTTGCATTGTTATTATTATTATTTTTTCATACTTTAAGAGAAAACAGGCTTCCATATTGAAGAGGCCTCGTATGTTGATGTTTTGTCTTTGAGCAAGCCAATTCTTCTGTGTAGAGAACTTCAGGCTAACATCTGAGCAAACTTTGACTTTTAACACAACGTAAATTGGATTGATTTCAAAGCGCAGCTCACACAATAAAGCTAGATTGTCCAGACGTCTTCACATCAGAAGGACCTTGCTCAAATACACAACACAGACAAGTAGTTGTGTCAGACTCTAAGGCTATGAACACTCATACACATCATACGTATCAAGAAAAGAGAGCCACCCTTAGAGAATATCATTGAGGCACATTATCAAATATTAGATGGGCTTTACATAGGAAAACTCTGGAAATGCTATTGGAGGAGGACTTGGAAGTGAAACAGAAGCAAGTTGAAAGTGAAACGCTTGTGGCTATTCTGCCTCTCTGATTTAAAAGGTCCGGCTTTGAGTTTGCATGCTGAAAACGCTCACAGACTTGAAAGGTCCTATTGACTTTTTAATGATCTTATGTGGCTCTTAATTAATGACGGGCTTGTGGTCTGTCCTCCCCCAACATTG